GGGTGGCGGATAGGGGCATGCCACCCGCTTAGAGGGGCGGGTGGTACCGGAGAAATCCGGCGCGGACCAAATGGCTTGGATGGGGCCGCTCGTCTAGGCCTCGAGCCGAAGACGTTGCGGCCACCGGTGGTGGGACCGCTTGGTCCCACAACCGGATGATGGGTGCCGGTTGCGGGATTGTGTTCGCAGGCCCGAATTCGGCGGAAGGGTAGGCCGCGGCGGGAGAGGAGTGCCGGTATTTCGGTGCGCCGTTCTCCCTACCTTCCGCGGCCTAGACGGGGCCGCCACCGTTTGATGGTGGACGCGGTGGGGCTGCAGGGGAAGAGGAGTGTCGGTGTTTCGTTGCCGCTCTCCCTGTCCTCTGCAGCCGATTGGAGGTGGCCCACTTCGGTGGGCGGTGTTTTGGTTTTATGGGGCTGCTCCGGGTACCTCTCTGACGTAGCAGAGTTGACTGTGGAGCAGCCCCATTGGTTTGGTGGTCTGCCTAGTATTTAGGCCGACCTGCCGCCGGGGCGCCGTAGTAGTTATGCGCAAGCGATCCTGCGGCGTCCCACTAAGGCGGGGGGAAGGGATGTCGGGTTTTAGTGGGTAGTACCGGCTCTTCTAGCCGGTGAGCCACATCACCACCTGGGGGATCAGGTGGTATGCGTAAATGCATTTCCCGACGATAAAAAAAAAAAAAGGTTGAGAAGGCTATGGCGGGAGCATGGACGAATTAGAGACTGGACCTGACATAAAATACAAATGTATGAAAACTAGTTCAACCAAGTGACGCATAACGCACACAAAGATTTTATTACATTATTATAAACACTGATACACAATACAATATTTCTAGTGTTTGAACGTAATCGATAAAATACATATATCGATGAACCAATGAATGACATTTTAGACATTGGTTAGCATAGTCATCATATTTTACATCTTTTAATTTAAAATATCTGTATTTATTATAATAAATTAAAATAAATGAATTAAAGAGGCAGTAATAATGTGTCAAATAATAATAATTTTTTAATTTGATTTATATAAATACGATGGCATTGATGGCAACATTCTGTTGGCCTATAATAATGTTAATATACAAATGAATATCGGGTGTATATTCCATTAATATATAATAAATATTATTTTGTAAAGATGAAAAAAATATTAAGCTAATTTAATTAAATAAAGTGATTTTGTTGATTCTGTTATTGAACTATTTAATTGGCAATTGATTGTCTCGGGTAATTATAAAAATGTGACACTGTCCTAATATTGCTCAGTTATTAATAAACATTTGTGAAATTAGGAAAAAGAAAAAGTGATTGCAAATTGTGAAAAAGTGAGTGTTTGAATCGTGAAAGTAAAATAATTATTGCAAGTGGTAAAGTGTTTTATTACAAATCGCCAACCCAGAAGTTTAGTGCTAAAACATTATTGTTTGATTTTGTGTAATTTATGTGTTGAAATAAAATGATCTTTATTATTATTACAATGGAATAATATTCCAAAGTATATAAATGTAGTATAAAATAAAATAAAAAATAAGTACACATACTAATTATAATTTTTGCATTTATATTTTTTATTTGATTTAGAAAATATTTTTATACATTTATTGTCATCAGATTGTAGGATACTGTGATAAAAGTATTTTATGTTATTGTACTGTACAAATAACACAATTCGTTTTAGTTATTTCGTCAAATATCGATATATTTTTCGACATTATCAAGCACTAGTCGATGTCAAAATGGACTCACTCGACAGTTTTTGTCATTTGTGCTGAATGGTATAATCCAGCCCGTTTATGATGGTTGTCAGATGTCAACAATACATAGAAATATCGACTATATTTAACATAGTTGGATAATATGACATTTTATTTTACATTTAATTAAATTTTGTTATAAATAACAATAAATGTAATAAAATAATGTATTTACAAGTGAAAAGAAATAGTGCTGCTTCCGCCGTTATAGTTTTTACACCATTTAACAGAACATTTAGTCATTTTTGGGAGATCTTTTGTTGACAAGTAAGTGCTTGAGACTGACACAAGAAACAAACGACCTAGGCTAAAATTCCCTGGTTACTGACATGACCGTTAAAGGTACGTCCGCCTATAAGTCTGGTCCAGTGGTTAATTCGTTCATGGGCGGGAGCTTTGTCTTACTCGGAAGAACCCTTTCTTTCTAGGTTGATTAGCTTAGTTTAGAACAGTGACCAAAACGACTAGAACTTTTAGAACTAAAAATACTTTAGAAGAATCCAAATATTAAATGAAGAATTTATAAATGAACTGATAATTACAATGACTAACCTAATAATAATGAAAGGCTATCGTTTTCTTAGTGTAAACATTGGTCATATGTAGATGTTACACCAATGTAGACGCTTTATAAATAGATCCTATTCGTAGTGTCACCATCGGTCATAGATATGCTCAGTAGTTACACCAGTGTAACATAACAGTGTAACCATGGGTCCGTAGTCGATATTTTGTATCACAAGTTTTGCTATTTAGCTTTTTATACTATTTTCGTTTAAAAGTTTATTTTATACATTTAACTATTTGCTTGATCGTCGAATTACTTGAAGTACTTATAAGATTTTCCGTGCAAAGTATCTTAATAGCAAAATCGATGGAAACTTAAATTACTTACAAAATTTGCAGGTGCTGTACTTATTGAACTATGAAGATCAGCAGTTAATTTAATCATAATGTGTTCTGCAAAAATGAATTAGTGTTTGAAAATTATATATATGTTAATAATCTGGAAATTATCTCGCAGTCTAAAGTTCAGACAAATATTACGACACGACGCTAAAAAGTACTTATTATGGATGTCGCTTTTTAACTCTCTCTTTAAACATAACAGCATCGTTGCTACTAAATAATAAAAGTAAAGTTAAGAAACAAATAGATTTTTCATTTACACGTACGCACTGTATCTATACATATAATAAAATTCTGAGTCGAATCTGTACATTAAATATGTTTTTGGAAAATCTTATTTATTAATATCGAGACAAAAGCCGAATATAGTACATATATTATATATAGTTTTTAGATTATTTGTCTGTCTGTTTATCCGTTTGTTACCGCATCACGAGAAAATCACTGGACAGATTTTGATGAAATTTGGTATGATAATAGCTGGCTATCCGGGTTAACATATAGGATACTTTTTACTGCGGGAAAATATCTCATCTCTGAGAAATCTATACTAAACGTTAAAACATAAATAATATCAATAAAACATAAATAATATCAATATTACCTAATAAATAGTCGTTGATGTAATATCGTTTTTGGATGCAGAGCGGAGACACAAAAAGAACAATTTACTTACTACTAAGTTATATACTTAATTACAAATGTTTATAGCTTTTCAAACGGCTTTTTTTGTATATGCTGTTGTCTACTATACATTTTTTAACCTCATATATTACACAATATAAGTAGAAGATTTTTCTATCATAAATTTCAACCAGATATTAGTTTTCTTTGTTTTATTCGTAATATAAATTATGAGGTACAATACTTCCACTTCATTTGAATAAATGTAATAAATAGATGTTTGATTTGTGTTCTGACGTGATATAAACAATTACACAGAAATATGTAGTTAACAGGTAATATAATCAGAAGATTTTTATTCGTACAACATAAATATGGATAAGTGTTAAATAACAAGAATAGCGATCCATATATAATTCTACGCGTGTATATCGGGCAGAACAATAAAATCACATAATATTTTAAAATTTTCCATCTTGATACTATAAAAATTTTATTTTGTAAATGTTTAAGATCTCGATCACAAAACGAAATAATACTTAAAATTTCTCACAAAACGAAATAATACTTAAATAACTCTTGTTCATTTTAAAAAATCCACTATTAAAGGAGCTACAATTTTTGGAATAATTACAGTGAACATATCGATTCCAATTTAAAAACAATAGCCTAAAATAAAAAAAAATGACGACACATTTGACTCAGTTTGTATAGTGACCTTACCTTCTGTGCCAGCCGTCAAGGGTTCGAGTCCCGCATTCATTTGTGCGATGAGCACGAATGTTTGTACTCCATTCATGGGTGCTTATATTTATAATATATATGTATTTAAATTTTAAAGTTATATATTATGTCTAGTGTATCAACTATCTGGTATCCATAATACAAGCCTCGTACCTTACCATGGAATAAGATGGTGCTTTGTGTAAATCTTCTAACAAATTTATTTATTTATTATTTGTCATGTCTATTCTAAGCACTTAAGCCAACTTTTCTATAAAAATGAAGATTTGACTGGTAATTAAGAAATGATACCCGAAGAGAGAAAGAGACTTCCGAAATCTTTCATCAGTAAATGGTGAGAATATTTCTATTAATGAAGAAGAAGTAAAAAAAAGAAAGATTTCTTTCTCGTATTACCTTATTTGAACTAATTCTTCTGTCCTTTTGTTACCTTTGGAAGGGGAACTGAGCGTAATGAAATTTTATTTTTTAAAACTTTCTTACCACCTCTACATATTACACTCACTACTTCTTACATGCCAGCACATACATACATACGTATCTACTATGTATATATAATTTGTACAATTATTAATGTAATAGGTATATATAATATAGTGGTAGATTCATAGAATCATTAATATCCCAAGACAATGTACCATTTCAGTGGGAAACTTTCTGTCAATGTGGAGAATATAGCATCAATTTCAAACTTTGTTAGTTAAGACCTTATATTTAGATTGTTTACGCGGGTTTTTCTTGTTACTTATGAATAAAAATAGAATTTTTATATTGAATTACTTGGACACTATGTATGTGTGTTTTTTTCCACTAATTATAACAGGAACTCATAAAAATATATAAGCCATGTTCTTAATAATCCTACAATTAATGAATACCAGAGCATTGAATATATTATACCAGTTGTATATAAAAGATGCCAGAGACTCACTTCACATATTAATCGTAATAGCAATAGCCCACCATGTCTCTCATAAAGGTACTGTAAATTATATAAGTATTAAATTAAATAATTTATCTTTAATCTATAAACATTTAGCATTTTAACTCGATAACAATATTTTGATTTTACAATTTTCAGACATTACTGATACTAACTGTTACTATTGCGCTCATTGCCACTGCTTTGGGAGAGCGCGGCAATTATGGGGGCGGTTCGAGTAGCGCTTCAAGCCAAGGTGGATCTAGTAGCAGCAAATCTAGCGGATATGGAGGTTCGCCTGGAAGCGGATCCAGTGGAAGCCAAAGCTTAGGTGGTTCAGGAGGTAGCCGTGGATCTGGAGAACAAGGTGGATCTGGCAGTGAAGGTGGATCTGGAAGAAGCCAAGGGGGATCAGGAAATCAAGGTGGTTCCGGAGGTAGTCAAAGTGGTTCTGGTAGTCAAGGTGGTTCCGGCAGTCAAGGAGGTTCCGGTAGTCAAGGAGGTTCTGGCAGTCAAGGAGGTTCTGGCAGTCAAGGAGGTTCTAGCAGTCAACAAGGTTCTGGGAGTCAAGGTATTTCTGGAAGTCAAGGAGGCTCTGGCAGTCAAGGTGGTTCTGGAAGTCAAGGTGGTTCTGGTAGTCAGGGCGGATCTGGAGGTAGCCAAGGTGGTTCAGGCATGCAAGGTAGCTCAGGGGGTAATCAAGGTGGATATGGAGGAAGTCAAGGTGGCTCTGGAGGTAACCAGGGAGGATCAGGAAGCCAAGGCAATTCTGGAGGTAGCCAAGGCAGTTCTGGAGGCAGCCAAGGCAGTTCTGGAGGTAGCCAAGGTGCATCTGGAGGTAGCCAGGGCGGTTCTGGAGGATCAGGAAGTCTCGGCGGATCAGGTAGTCAAGGAGGATCCGGTGGTAGTCAAGGAGGGTACGGTGGTAGTTCTGGTGGATACGGCGGTCACGGCCAAAAGTCTAGCGGATATGGTCGTTAAAACGCAGATGTTTTAATAGATTCAGAGTTTTATATTCATATTAACTTTTTTACTGTTTGACATAATAATAAAAAATTTTTTATAAAAATATTATTATAGTTTTAGTTTTAAATCCATTGCTAACATCTTATATTGCAGTCACCTGTGATTAATAAATAAACACATTGAAGCTTTGTTTTATAAATAGAATCCTATTATAATATTTACTAGTTTACCTTCCCACACATTCGTTGTCCTTTCTTTTATTTATATATGAAATAGTTTATTTTTGAATGTTTTACTACTTAATGTCTCTGACACCCAAACGGATAATCATAGCCCCGATTTGCGTAAAATCGCATACTCTATAAAACTTATGTTTAGGATGTCGGGGATGATCGAGATGAGATGCTCAGTCTAATCCTTTGACTTAAACCATAGCTGGATCTAGGGTTTCGAAGTATATGAAATTTAACAATGTTTATATATACGTAACCTGTGCAACAAAAAAAGTTTTGAGAGACATATGTAAATAGTTGTTTTAGCTTTGTTTCATCTTCATGTTGTTTATACATCAGCACCTCACCATTTTGAAGATAAATATATAAATAAATGGGTGTAGTCTATACATATAATAAAATTGTAACTAAGCCAAATCTGTACATTAAATATTTTTTGGAAAATCTTATTGAAATAGACTTTATTATCGATACAGAGGCCGAATCTATAGTTTTTAGAATTTTTGTTTGTCTGTCAAAATATAGGATACTTTTTACCGCGGTAAAATGTATCATTTCTGAGAAAAAATAGAAAAACTGCAATGTAAGAGTATACTAATATGTAAAACCTAAGTATTTGGTTTTTGGTCATCTGAACGCAGGCGGAGCCGCGGTCAATGCTAGTAAAATATAAAATAAAGCACAGACTTAAAGTAAAAATAATATATAAATAAGATAACGTTATAATTCAACGATTTTCACTGTAATTACAGTCTCTATCCACATAATTACTTACTATCGTTAATGCTTCGGGTATATGAGAGAAAGTATATATAACTATATATAATAATGACTTACAATGAAACAGGCCATTAGGCAATAAGATAAAAATGCAGTCTTACTCGCACTCCGAAGGTTCTGTATCTTTAAAAATTAAAATGTTAAGTAAAATTTACTTATCTATACATATAATAAGATCGTAACTAAGCGGAATCTGTACATTAAATATTTTTTGGAAAATCTTATTGATATAGACTTTATTATCTATACGGAGGCCGAATCTATAGTTTTTAGAATTTTTGTCTGTCTGTCTGTCTGTTTTTTACCACATCACGGAAAAACCACTGGATAGAACCACCATATCTCATCGGTGAGAAATATATACCAAACGTTAAAACGTAATTCATTTTATCGTTAGCACAAATATATTTGTTATTGCGTATAGTTCTCAATGATACTATAGTATCATTGAGAACTATGACAGACAAGTTAAACTAACAAAGCATGGGAACAAAAATATCCAATCTCAAAAACTTCGATAAGTGAATAAATATATATTAATACTAACAGAACACGCGGCTTCGCCCGCGTTTATCTACAAAAAAACTTTTGCTTTTTGTTATATAACGACTCACCCTCGCTTCGCTCGGATTCGTCTCTATATATTTATATGATATAGATGTTAAATTATTTGTATATTGTTCATATAAAACCACTAAAATGGCGGTTAAAAATGGGGCGTGTGGGGAAAGGTGGGTGAAAAATACTTTACGACCTATTTATTCTCATACCTACCAAAATATAAAAAAAAAACATTAAAATCGGTCTAGCTGTTTCGGAGGATTGCGACCAATATTTATACATATATAAGATTTTTGAATAAACGTAAAGAAAATAAAAATAGTACATTGACGAATGTCATTGTTAGATAAGAATACTTCTTTGCTAGAAACATATAACAAGTGCGACTACAACTAAATCAATATCTAAAAGAAAATAGTAGGTATGTGCATACGATTACATACATACGTTTTATCTATACATATGATAAAATTCTGAGTCAAATCTGTACATTAAATTTTTTTTGGAAAATCTTATTAAAATAGACATTATTATCGATACAGAGGCCGAATCTATAGTTATTAGAATTTTTGTCTGTCCATCTGTCTGTGTGTTACCGTATCACAAAAAAATCACTGGAGGGATTTTGATGTGATATGGTGATAGCTGGTTATCCGGGTCAACATATAGGATACTTTTTACCGCGGAAAAATGTCTCATTTCTGAGAAAAAATACAAAAACTGTAATGTAAGAGCATACATACTAATATGTAAAACATTTGTCGTTTTTGGTCATCTCAACGCGGGCGGAGCCGCGGGCAATGCTAATCCTTAACACGAGAATCGCTACGTGTGTGTCCTTAGGTAACTTATTCCCTTCTTTTTAACTAGATTTTTTATTTTTAGTATTTAAGTAATATTTTACTTAGCACTAGCGACTTTCCCTCGCTTAAGTTTTAAATAGATATAAATAGTTATTGCGAGTGTACCTTAAGAGATATATAATATGCTATTCTAGACTTTTCTGTAGACCTTTTTAAGACCTACACTTTTCTAGTACATTGTTTTGATGTATCTCTTAAGGTTTAGCCAGCATTAGCCATGTAAATTTCTAAGCACGACTCGACAGAATCAGTTATGATGTTTTCCCGAGGGAACGAAATTTTCCCAAAGTAAAAGGTATACTAAATATTGAACATAGGTTCGGACATACATATACATAAGTCAAACACACAACCCTCTTTTAGGCTTCGCTGCAGTCGGGAAATAAGAAGACAATACGTGTAGAACATAATAGTTTATTAATAAAGGTGTTTTATATCAAAATATACATTATTTAAAAAATAGCATTTCGCAGTGCTAAAATGTGGACAAAACTACGAAGAAAACTTTTTATGCCATGTAGTCCTGTGTGCCCACAGATAAATGCCCGATTTCACTAACATCTCATAAGCTACCACCTACGTATGGGATTGCTAGCTTAAAAGTTCCCCTAAACTAGCCCCTAAATTAAATTTCGTTTTACCATCGTCAGAGCCCGTATTTCTAGTACCTATATTTAGGTGGCATTTTAATATTTAGGTGACCCCTAACTGTCGGTGAAACAGAAACTGTCCCCTAAAACAGCCCCCTAACCGTGCTTAGGGGATCCCTTAAACATAGGTGACGTTGGTGAAATCGGCCAAAAGAGTTCTAAATCTGCGTGTGTGCCCTTTATCGTAAAAAATATAAAAGCTTATTTTTATTCCTTATCTCTAAAAATATACAGTAAAAATATTTTGATATAATTATCTTTTTATTATGATAGTAGTAACACACCCTCGCTTCGCTCGGGTTCGTTCCTATGTACGTTTAAATATTTTTTCTCTAAAATAAAAGTAGCCTATGTTACTCCCTATAACATCAGCTATCTTCCAATGAAAGTGCCGTTAAAATCAGTCTAAAAGTTTCAGACATTTATTTATGCACACAAAGTTTGCCCTAATTTAATACAAAGGCAATATTTATCTATACTAATATTATAAAGAAGTAAAGTTTGTGAGTTTGTAAGGTTGTATCTTTTGATCTGTTGATCTACTGAACGGATTTAGATGAAATTTGGTAAGAAGACAGTTTGAGACCATAGGATACTTTTATTCCGGAAATCATCCCTTAAGGGGGTGAAAATGGGGATGAAAGTTTGTATGGATAATTAACCTAGGGACGATCTCGAGCGAAGCGAGGATGAGTTGCTAGTGAAATATAAAGTGCTACTTTCCTTTGATTTTCACACATCCCAGCTAATTCAATTTTTACGTATACCTGCCAAATTTTTCAAATTGCCTAGTTGCCTATATATTTATTATTTCGGCTTCTATACCGACTTAAAAAATAAAAAAAATGAACTAATTACTTGTGAACAGTAAACAAATCTATATTTAATATTATAAAGAGGCAGTTTGTTTGTTTTAACGTGCTAACCTCAGAAAGTATCAGTGATTTCGATTCGCTTTGAAAAATTAGGCATGGCATTAGACACCCTGTTTATTGAGGAAGGCTATATATCATATAATATATCTATTCCATACTAACTGGTATAGTAATTAACAAAAAAATAAAAACCGACTTCAAACAAAAGCACTAAAAATTAAAAAATAACTGATTGGTAGTTTTCATTTACTATACATACCTAATTAAATATTTTCGAAGTCGGTGTGCTTTGCTTTGTATGGGCTGGCACCGATTTCGAAAATATTTGATTAGGTATGTATTTAATAGGTAGGCTTTAATTACTTAGCCAAAGCACGCCGACTTCGAAAATATTTGATTAGGTATGTATAGTAAATGAAAACTACCAATCAGTTATTTTTTACTTTTTAGTGCTTTTGTTTGAAGTCGGTTTTTATTTTTTTGTTAAAAAGTTTTTATTTTTCCCTTTTTAGTGTAGACAGTAGTAGCAAAGTAAGAATTCTAACGTGTTAGGCTTGTCAAATCAAACAAAATAAGCCCAAACTCAAAGTATCTACTATTAGCCGTTGAAGAGTTCCACCTATCCACCTTCTGGCCTTACCATCAGATCAGGTCAACAATACCGAACCACTGTACTATCAACGGAAATAGAAACACTTGCAAAGTTTCAAGTCAATATGACAATTAGAAGTAGGTTAAATCCATCATTAGCTATTTTTCCACCCTTAGGGGTGGTATTTTTTTTTTGAAATTTAAATGGGACCAATCTGGAAGTATACCCTTTCAAACAAAACAAAAATTGTCCAAATCGGTTAATAAATGACGAAGTTCTGAGGTAACAAACATAAAAAAAAAAAAAAAAAAAAAAAAACAAAAAAAAAATACAGTCGAATTGAGAACCTCCTCCTTTTTGAAGTCGGTTGAAAAATAATAAAACTGAAAAAAACTCCCTAATAATAATTAGGATATATCGTTTTCGTATTTAAGACAATCAGTTTATAGATATAAAATGATATCAGGTTAGTGAATATAGATGTAATTTAAAATTTCCTCTTTTTATATCCATAATTAGTAAATGTTAATAAAATGATCTAACAAAACTTAAAGCCTAAAAATATAACGATTTTTTATCATAAAAATTGAATTAGTCTTCTTTATTTCTAGGTTTTATTTGTAGTGACTACTCTCATACTCTTAGGGACCAATATGGCTGAATTTGGCAACAGTTCTGGACAAGGTGATTCCGGACAAGGAAATGAATTTCAAGACAATTCGTTTGGAAACTTAAGTCAAAGGTTTCGGAAACAGTTAAGGATTTTGGGGTAATGAAATGGAACTATATGTTAATATTTACAACAACTGTTCTAATTTAAATTATTATAATAATTGCTTTAGTAAAATTATAGAAAATTTATTACTAAGATTTATTGAACCCCCGTAAATAACGGTACTTCGATAGGTTGATTCAAATTTACACGACCGTTCACTAGTTGTGATAGCATTTGTAACATCATTGAACCAAAGTATAATACAAAACGGGAGCCCTTAACCAGAAAATTAGGGGTGTCTTGTATCACTACTGGTGGTTCTTCTTTAACTACTGGTGGTACTGGTGGTTGTGGTGGTAGTGGAGGAGGTATCGACGGTGGTGCTGGAAGAGGAATCGATGGTGGTGATGGGGGAGGAATCTGAGGAGGTGGTGGTGATGGTATTAAAGGAGCAAAGGGTACTATTAATTCAGGAAATGGGATTGCTATTGGAGAAGAAAATGGTTGACCACTTAACGGTATCCTCGTTACATCAGTAAACAATAAAGGCGTATTAGATACACCACTAATACCGGGTCCTACAACGGGCCTAGTTGGATTGTTTAAAATAGGATTTTTTATCACCGGTGGTATTGTACTCTCGATCGGTGTGCTTATAATTACATTTTGGATAGGCGGCTGCTCTGGTGGAGGTGGTACTGCTATTATCGGCTTCGGGGTTATTTCTATAATTGTTTCTGATGAGGACACCACTTCATCTATTTTAATCTCTGGTTTTCGTTGTATCAGCACTTCCGCAGGCTTTTCTATTTCAACATCTTTTTCACCTATTAACATTTCAGAATTCATCTCTGGCAAAAAAATGGGGTTACCATCTTCTATTGGCTTAATAAAAGAAGTTATTATTACTTGTGGAATCAAATTAACCTTAGTAGGAATATCTTCTTGTTTTTCTGCAAGTTGATTTTCTTGTTCTTTTAGTACATCCTCAATTGTACCCCCATCTGATAGTGATATTTCATTAGGTATAGGGGAAGAAGCACCATCTTCGACAATTTGACGCTTTTTAATTGCATGTTTAATTTCATATCTTTTAAATGGAGTTATTTTGTGTAGTACAAAAGATAATGGTAATGGTCGTAGTTCAAAGCGGAAACTCTTCTGGAAACTTTTGGCTACGCCATGAGGCTTACACATCACTTTATCACACAACCATAGAGCAAATATTAAAAGTGACACCTAAAATAAAAATAAGTAATTAGTATCGTTCCACACAACACACATTTAAATTCTGTAGTGTAATTTGATACCTGACACAAATATTTCATATTGAACTTATTGTTTAAACACCTTATCACGTCTGTGGCATAAATCGCGAAAGACGCCTTAAATAAACATTTTATTCAAAACGCAATCAATACAAAAGCGGCACAAAAAATATCATTAAAATGAAGACACGCTACCATTTCTTCCAACCATAACTAGGACAAGGTGATTCATTGACCAACAATTAAACAGATCCCATTCATGCTAAGTTTAAAATGTGATTATTTTAACTCATTCATAATAAACTTATTACTACAAGCTACTGCTTGCGACTTCTCTCTTAAGTAACCTACAATGTGATTCACAGGCACTAAAAAAGATTAAATTTGATTTTGTTAAGAAAATGCGTAGAAAATGAAGTTCAAATTTCATCATTTGATCTATTCGTCCAATTGAAATAAAATATTTTGTTATTTTCTTAATTCACACTTAGGTGTAATTAAAGTGTCCAATTATTATCTTCTTGCAACTTTTCGAATACCCTACTTCTCTTGCACCTGTTACAAAAATTTTTCTCGTTCTGTCAGTTTTCGTTAGTGTTCAAGTATAAGTGTAATATATATAATTTACAGAGTGTAAGTACCAACCTATAAAAAATATAAAATTACGAATATATTTAGAACGATCTACAAGTTAGGCTCTGCTTATTACAGATAAATTTACGTATTATCATACTTGTCTCATACCTTTTTTTAGCGAAACTAGTTTTTGTTCATTCTAACATTCAAAAGATGCAACAGCAAAATAAGAGCTAACTCCTTCAGAGGGATTTTATATTTCTATCACGAACTTTACTTTCTCAACAAACATTCAGATAGTTAAAACATAATATAATGCAAGTAAAATTAGATCTACAAATAAAAAAATCAAAGACCACTTTCAACACTTACTGTGTTTTATCTATTTGCTAAACTGTACTTAAACTAGTTTTAATATGCTTAAAAATTTTGTTTGAAATAATGAATAAATCAATAGGCTCGCCGGACGTGAGCAGAAAGAAGTTTAAACAATCGCTCGAAAGTTAATACGACTCGTTTCGAAAGTATGAACGGAATTACAAATTATGTTCTGATAATCTTCCTCATTTTGAAAGAATTTACTTTTAAGATAAACCTATAATTATAATCTATAAAAAAGGAGGAAATAAATGGCATACAAAGGATATTAAACATGCATACTTAAAAAAACTTTTTTACTAGCATTGCCCGCGGCTCCGCCCGCGTTCAGATGACTAAAAACCAAATTCTTAGGTTTTACATATAAGTATACTTTTACATTGCAGTTTTTGTATTTTTTTTCAGAAATGAGACATTTTCCTGCGGTAAAAAGTATCCTATATATCGACCCAGATAACCAGCTTTCGCCATACCGAATTTCATCAAAATCCCTCCAGTGGTTTTTCTGTGGTGCGTTAACAGACAGACAGACAAAAATTCTAAAAACTTTAGATTCGGCCTCTGTATCGATAATAATATTTATTTCAATAAGATTTTTCAAAAAAAACTAATTACAGATTCAGCTTAGCTACAATTTTACTATATGTATCTATAAATGTAGGTCATAATATACATATACGATCATTTATAGAAGATTGATTCTTCAATACTGATCTATCCCTCAGTAATCAATATAGGTGTAACCAATACACATAGATATTTTTTATCGATACAGTAGACGAACGCTGAGTTATTGAAATCTATAATCGTTAATATCTGTACACATATTCGTACGTATACATATAAAAAAATAATTGCCGTTCGTTAGTCTCGCTAAAACTCAAAAACGGCAGGACCGATTTAAATAATTCTTGTTTTTGTTTTGTTGGGGGTATCTCAGGGGTGGTTTAAATATAAACAAATAGACAAAAATAAAGACAAAAAGAAATAGAAAAAAAAAACAAAAAAACAGCTGGAAAATCTAAAAGTTCAGGACTGTTTATTTTGTATGCCCATACTAACTACTAAATATAGTGATGCCCATCACTAACCGTTAAAAACCCGAGCGAAGGGAAGGTGATTCGCTAGTTGTAATTAAAGAAGTTTGTACTGGTCAGTGGGTAGGATAACATGTTAATGTTTGTATACCTTTTCTCTCATATCTATTACACTAAACACAAAAACATTAATAGTCATGCAATATATAATAATAATGTCCTCCCGACCCGACCGATTTCGGCCACGGCGGCCAATCTCATTGAGACTATCCAACTGCGCAGGAGATATTATAGTGCACAAGCGTATGCGCAGACACAAGTGCACTCTCTATTCCTGTCACTGTCATACTCCGGTGGGACGACTACTCGAGAAATAAGGCGCAGGACAGACGGATTTACGCGTTCTCCGAAGTACGGGGGTGAAACACCGCCAACTTCCCTCGTACTAAACAGAAAGACTCAGTAACTAAACTTGGCCCGATCGGTGACTCGAACCCAGGACCTCCAGGATGTGTAGCCGTACATGCTAGCACTACACCACCGAGGTAAAGTTTATATATAAATATAAAACGTTTTTAGGAAATAGTCTTACATTACATAACAACGCAAATCTACTGATGGTTAGTAGAAAGCGGCGTGGGGGTCGACACGCGACACTCATCGTTGTAGAGTCTTCCTTCATACATACGAGTACGTTGGCAATCGCTAAAAGTCTGCAATTTTTTTATATTTTTTTATCTACCTTTGATCAAATGACATGAATTATTTATTATTATTTTAAAACCGTAACTAAATTTCGGGATATGATCCAAATAAAATACATATATTTAAATGTGCGCTATTTTGTATATACAGTTTTTTAAGTGACATTATTATAAGGACTGTAAAAAGGGTCAACAAAACGTTAAAAAAGGATTTTCTATACAAGGTATGTATGTATTATGTAATCTTTTGAATTTCTATTTAACTGTATTTAATTTTAATTCCATTTTAGAGAAATTTAACAATATTATAAACTAATATTATTTTAAAAAAGAGCAACTGTTGAGTTTCTTGCTGACTCTTTCAGCAGAACTGCCTTCCGAGACGATGCTATATTCCTCACGAACTCACATACTAACATTTAATTAAAATTTAAAATGTAAAATTGATGATTCAACAGTGCTTGTAAAAGTCTATTTAAATAAAGTAGATTTTGGTTTGATGCCTCCTCATGAGCAATTAAATGAATATTATAAAGGAGAAAGTACGATATGAATAAATTAAAATATTACACAATTTTATTGTTAATAACCTAATTTCTTGAGTATATTACAATTTCTTAATACATTATACTTCCATATTTACATATTATATTTAATTGGGATACTTACTAAATAAGTATAATAATTACAAATATTTTTATATTAATATAAGGCTTAAGAATAATTTCAATATCAAGAATAAGTTTTTGTCCGATCAGTCATCAAACCAAACGATTGCGGTTAAATGTTTACGCTAAACTTGGTTACGATCATTGCAGGCATATCTAGTCAATAGTTGCGCCTGCGAAGATCTATCTAATAATAATTAAGTATAATTTCAAAGTGATATCAAAAATTAGAAAGATAGAATTTTAAAAATTAAATAAAGAGTTTAGAAAATAATAAAAATTAAATAAATACGCCAGATTTATTTTTAATTATATTTAACAAAAAAAGGTACTATTATCGTTTTTTAGTGTTCCATATCTCAAAAGGAAAAGCGGGATAGTTATATAAATCGACCAATCGACCGTTTATCTACCAGTCTGAAATCTGAAAAATCTGTCACACCCTAACCCCCCGTTACTTAAAGGTCGGAAATAAAAATATAGTAAGTACGCATAGAGCTAGAATACACAATGACTTATAGTCTACAGACTATAAGTCATTGTCCTAATTTGTTCTACAAAACTACTCGCCAAGTTTCAACATGTTATTAATCATTAAGAAAAGCCTGTGGTCTGATTTATTTTGTCTAAGGACGAATCCGATGCGAGGGTGAGTCGTTAGTTTTTAGATAAAATAGGAAGCAATTTATGTCGCATTATCTTTAATAAGTGCTTTATACAAATTTTAAGAAATCTACGAATATACGATAGGTACTAGTTGCTACCCGCAGCTCCTCTAGCGTGGTAGGCAGGTACCTATGTATATATATATAAAGTATACATTCATAATTATAGCCTTTATGTATAGATTAATAAGTGTAGGTATATGTAGATATAAGTCAACTCTATCCTGAACTTCACTCCAATCCCTTCCTTTACAGGTTGAAGTGAAACAAACACACTTACTCAAAGCCTTTTACAATATTAGAGTGATATTAAATTAAACTACACTAAAACATTTAATATATTGATACCAATTCCAGCTTGAATATTCGGTTACATGAGCAGCTGTTATTTCATACTTGTACTTGTTTTCTTATTACCTCGCCATCAATTATACTCGCGAGAGCTACTCTTATTATACCATGTATGTACGTATCTTAAAAAAAAGTGTAATTGATTAAAAAATCTTGTCACATAACTCATATGAGCAATCGCAATAAAAAAATTGTCAGTTAAAGAGTTACGAAAATTAATATCCCAAAAATTATATATATATATATATATATATATATATATATATATATATATATATATATATATATATATATAGATATATTAGGAAAATAATATCTTTCCATTATTAAAAAAAAAAGTATATTCTGTACTTAACTATACTAATAATTGAATTGTGGAAGGTTCGTACCTGCAAATTAATATCTTTTGAAAATTCTTTTTGAAATAAGCTTTGTACTTGGGGTCGGAGCAGTACATCTTCTGTACTGCTGCTAGGATTTGGCAAAAGTTTTACGACCGGCCGCCTGCCTGACGTCAGCCCTCCTTCGACATTCCCAAGGAGGGTTGACT